AAGAAAGAAAGAAAGAAAGAAAGAAAGAAAGAAAGAAAGAAAGAAAGGAAGGAAGGAAGGAAGGAAAAAAAGGGAAAGAAAGGGAGAGAAAGAGCGAGAGAGAGAAAAAGAGAAAGAAAAAGAAAGAGGAAGAAAGAAAAAGAAAGAGAGAAAGAAAGAAAGAGAGAGAGAAAGAAAGAAAGAGAAAGGAAGGAAAGGAAAGAAAGAAAAAAGAGGAAGGAAGGAAGGAAGGAAGGAAGGAAGGAAGGAAGGAAGGAGTCATCAAGCAAAAAAGAATATATACTATATGATTTCATTAATGTAAAATTCTAGAAAATGTAAGTGAATTTGTAGTGATAGGAAGCAGACCACTGGTTGTCTAAGGACAAGACTTGGGGTGGGAACAGTGGGATGAAGGAATTGCAAGGAGCATAAGGTAACTTTGTGGAGTGATGGACATGTATATACATATCATATATATTAATCATATATATATTTTAGAGGCGGAGTCTGTCACCCAGGCTGGAGTGCAGTGGCACGATCAAGGCTCACTGCAGCCTAAACTCCAGTGGCTCAAACAATCCTCCTACCTCAGCTTCCCAAGCAGCTGGGACTAAAGTCATGTGCCACCAAGCCTGGCTAATCATTATCATGATTGTGGTGATGATTTCATGGGTATATACAAATGCAAAAACTTATTAAGTGGTATGATTTAAACATGTGCAGTTTGTTATATGTCAATCACACTTCAATAAAGTTGCTTTTAAAATTTCCTGATGTTTCTATGGTACCTCTAACATAGTAAGTCCTTAATAAATGTTAGTTCTGTTTCTTTTAACAACTATGTTTTACAACTAGGAACTAATAGGATCATAATTCCTGACTAGGGGAACTCTTTCTCACTAGAAAAGTATAGGAACTATTTTTGAAAGGCTGAACTGTTTGGTCATCTTTGCTTTCGGTTTTACTAAGGCTGGCAGCTCTCTGTATCAGCAACGCCCCCAAAGAGCCAGGCAAAGTGAGATCAGCCTAGCTTTCCTCCTCTCCACCCTCACCCCTCAGAGCCATCACCTTGGTAACCTAACCCAATTTGATGGCTTATGAAAATGCAAGGTTGTTGATGTTTGTACCCCCATTGCCCCAGCATACTGTTTGGCGTGTGGCTAGAGCTTAACAAAGGATCAAAGAGAGAAGGAGTGAAGGAAAAGAGTAAAGCTTCCAACCCTGTGCCTGTGTGCCTGCATGGTGACCTCCAGGTCTCCGTGTAGTGCAGGTCTCAGCTAAGTCTCAATAAAGGAAATTCTCTGCTCTGGCTGAGGTACCAGACCACTGCAGCTCTGGGTCCTGATAACACCCACAGCTTTCACACCAATGCCTTTCCACAACTACTTCACTTACTGGGTCTACTGAGCACTCTGCTAGGGCATCACAACCATTCTCAGTCCATCAATCTTGATTGGATAGCAAAACAGATGACATTTTAACATCTTCATGTTGCTAGGGTTCTCAACTTTTACGTTCAAAGAAACAAGATGGTTATCATAGTGGCAAGCGCTGAACTGGAAACCTAGAGACATGTAGCTAGTCCTGGCTCTGCTCTCTCACCAATGAATGACCTGGAATCAACCTAGTCTATACTTGTAACTCATTGGCCAGCCTTCCTTACCACAACTGTGCTGTTTCAGGGGAGGCAAAATGTTTAAGAGTCACATCACCAGCCTTGGGTTGGGGGTAAGTCCTAGATCTGCCACGTGATAACTAGAAAATGGGTTGAGTGGCCTAGCCCATCCACAGGTCCCTTTGTAGGAAATTTTTCTGTGGTCCATTTTTCAAATGGCCTGGGGCTTATTCATTCTCCTATGGGGAAGTAGATGCTGTGGTGGCCATGAGAAAATAGCTCTTCTGGTAAGCAAAGTGCTAGGTATGCAAACATTCAGTTGACGGTACTCCTGAAATTTAACTTGAAAATTGTACCTAATGGCTTCTGCAAATTAATAGCATTCAATGGGGCCTCAGCCTTGTTTCTCTGCAGGACATGCTAATATAAGAGCCTTAAAAATTAATAAATTTATATAGACCACATAACAGTCATACTTCCTATGAAAAGCACCTGCCACACATTAATGAAGCTATCCTTTCATTTTTCTTAAGTATAAGGTTCATGAACAAGGACTTGTATTACTTTTATTCATTACAGTACTCCCAGTGCAATAGAAAAATGCCTGATACATAGTAGGCACTCCAATAAATGTTTATTGAATAAAAGAATCATTTAATAAAATCCTTATGAGTTGAATCTGTATGTAGTGCTTTGTAGTATTGTAACCTTCCTCGACCAAAATAACAGCAACTTCATTTCCCCTAACAACTTTCTTTAAATACCCTCACAATTTCCTTCTTCCTTCCTGGGTAGTCTATTAGCATCCTCAGAAGACTGGTAGAGATCCAAGCCTTATTTTCAAGAATAAAAGCTGGAAATCATTATTTCCAGCTTTTTTCAGCGTTATAGATTAAATCTCAACAGAACCCGGGTAGGCTATAGGACTTGTTGACCTGCTGAAGAGGCCCTGCAGAGGACGGTACCATCTTGTAGGCATAGTACTGGTTCAGATGAGATTTAATCTACAACTCTGAAATAACTATTTCCAGCTTTTATGAGAATAAACAGAGAAGAGGGGCTATAGGACTTGTTGATGTGCTGAAGGGGTCCTGCAGATTATTGTACCATCTTGCCTAGATAAATAAAAGATATCACTATATTGATTAGGTATTTGTTTTATGCCTTCATTAAAGAACCAATCTTGTTTTGCCACTCTTGGTTTGTAGGTAGAAACCAAGTTCCTTGGTTTCATAAATAGAACGAATCTGACTAATTCAAACCCTTTGCTCCACAAAATATTGCAATCATTCAAATTTCAGTGAGAAAAGACATTTTGTTATTTATTTATTTATTTATTTATTTATTTTATTTTATTTAAGAAATGTGTGTGCCTTTATTGGCTGAGCAGACTCCTTGAGGGTGGTGAAGCGGGAAGAGTGGGTGGTTCTGATGCCTGGCCGGGCAGTGCTTCACAAGCTTGTAGGTGATCGAGGTAATGGCCAATCCTCTCGGGCTTGCCCTCCACTTGGTTGAAGGCTTTGCCGTTGTAGACGCTCACCATGCTATCCACCATCTTGTCTCCCATCTCGGGCAGGATGATCATGTCCTGCAGGTGCGCGTTCACCACCTCTGGCTTCTGCATAGGCGGTGCCCACTTCTTGACCTTGCACAGGCCCTTCAGCAGCAAGTGCTGCTTCTGCCATAGGCCATAGTGCAGCTTCATTCGCTGCTCGCATGACAAGTCCAGCAGCGGGTCGGGGTGCACACCGCAGGAGGTGAACTTGCAGAAAGTCTGCTTCTTCTGCTTTGCTGCTTTTTCTGCTCCACTTCTGCCATCTTGACTTTTTTTTAAAACAACATGCCTCAAAGATCTCCAGTGAAATAGAAAACCCAAACTGCCTCCCTTTCCAGTGCTGAAAAATAATATCCTATGGCAGCTATTTCTAGGCCTGTTTATTATCAGAATTGCTTGAAGAGTTTTATAAATGCAGATTCCTTGGCTCTACCACCGTCCTACTCTATCACCCCCCCCAACCCCAACCCACACACACACACCCCCAAGATTCTGACATAGTAGGTCTGGGATATATGGTCCAGAATCAGTACATAGGAAATGGACCCCAGATGGTTTTGTTGTGCAACCAGATTTTGAAACCACCTTCTAAGCTGTGCTGCTATATAACAAAAAAACACCCAGAACTACTGCCTACAAAACCAGGGACTCCTTTCCCCATATTCTAAAGAAGGGATTGTGTCTCCCAGCCTACCTATCCTGCCACATTTGAAGGAGCTACAAACTAAAATGCCTGCAGGACCAGGCATGTAACATAAATGCAGGAAAGACACAGAAAGCAGTGAGGACTATGGTAAACACCACCCATCCACAAGGCACAGATGCCTGCCAGTTCCAGCCAAGCATGAACATGGGCCTGTCATCACAGGAACTTCTAAATTCTCAAAAGAATCCAGAAATTTTAAAGATTTTGTATAAAATGATTTTCTAATCTATTGATTTTATTTAAAATGTCTGGTGAAGGCTAAACATATCTGGGGTAGCATGTGGCCCGGAGCCCATGCACTTTGGGAGGCCAAACTCCTCATACCACTGCCATTCACTCAAAGGGCAAGGAGCTAAGGTGTGGGCTAGTGTGAAGGTGGGAGGGGAATATATTCCATTTACCAAGTGACTGCTGATGTTTGCATTTCAGAGCTAAACCAGCAGTCATTAATGAGACTAGCATTAATGGTTCTGTGGGGTGGCACAAAGCCCTTTTAGGCTATATATTCATTCCCCAAGGCTGCTGAAACAAATTACCACAAACTTGATGGCTTAAGCCAATTGACATTTATTCTCTCACAACTGTAAAGGCCAGAAGTCTGCAAAGTGTCAGCAGGTGGGTCCCTCTGGAGGCTCTGAGAATCATTCCTTGCCTCTTTCCTAGCTTCTGGTAGCTGCTAGCAATCCCTGTCATTCTTTGGCTTGCGGGGATGTCTCCCCAGTCTACCTCTGTCTTCGTATGTCCTTCTCCTGTGTCTCCCTTGTCTCGTTTCCCCTTCCATTCTAAGTCCTTATCATTGGATTTAAGGTCCACGCTAATCCAACATAATCTCAGCTTGAGATTGTTAACTTAATTACATCTGCAAAGGCCCTTTTTCCAAATAAGCTCACATTTATAGGTTCTGGGGTTTAACGCTTGGATATTTCTTTTTAGAGCCACTATTCAACCCACTACAGGTAGGTTTCCAAAAAAAAAAATCCATTATTTCAATCAAATTTTACTTCTACTAGCATTTATCTACCAATTTACTACTATGATAAAAATGACTTACATCTTGGCAGAAAACTTGAAGACATGCCAGCTCAGGCCCAGAGGTACGTTGTTACATATTTTTTCTTCTTATGTGCCGCTAGCTTCACGTCTTACTAGCATTATTCCATTGCTGTATTTCCTGCCATTACTTCTAAAATCAGGGATGTAGGGGTAAAAGGATCTCTGCCTTATACAGGCTTCCACCATTGGAGAAAATGGTGCTGTCTCCATGTGCGTGGCAAGGAAAACAGGTGACGGTGGAAGAGCAGAGGGCACAGGCTACCAGGTGAAGCAAGAGAACAATAGGTCAAGTAGAAGTCTGTCTTTATTGACCTGAGAAAGACACAGGAAATATGGCTTAGGTGAAAGAGCCCCTGGAAGTGCCATGTTCCCAAGAAGAATTTTTTACAGCACCCAAGCACTTAAATGTGATTTCTAGTGCCATCTAGTGGGAAGCACAGGAACCAAGTGAGACCTGGGATGGAAAAACAAAACCATGAGTCCAGCCTTCGGTCACTTTAAGGGGGCAGTTTTTATTGAGGCTGGATTTTTTTGTCTGCCCAGCGAGAGGATCTAAGAAGACTCTTACCAAACATCTGACCATCTTGTATGCTGCCCTTACACTTTATGCACAGGTGGTTGCTGAACTCATCCACGTGCTGTGTAATTTGTTCTCCCCACCTAGTTGGTGAGCAGAAGCTGTCTTTTTATTAGCACAAGCACAGTGTCTGGCACAGAACAACCTCTCCAAAAAAATACCAATTGGGTATAAAAAAAAGAAAAATCCAACTTAATGATTCTTTTTATGATCAACCATTTAGCTGTTAACAAATCTGCAGGAACCAAATGGCAAGACAAGCCACAAGAGGGAAACTGCATGACTTATGGTTTGCTAGACTTTGAGCTTTATTAAGCAGTCCTTGGGAGGTACACTCAGGGCCCAATTGTAACAGGGAGTGAGGGTGCTGTGCCCCAGGGAGGAAATCGCCCAATGCAACAAGTTGACTCCTCACACTACTGCCATCCACTCAAAGGACAAAGAGCTAAAAGGTGTAGGCTAGTGTGAAGGTGGGAGGGGAGTATGTTCCAGTTACCAAGTGACTACTGATGTTTGCATTTCAGAGCTAAGCCAGCAGTCATTAATGAGACTAGCAATTCCTTCCTCCTTACCTTGTAACATATCCATCCACAGAACCTCTACCCCAGGAGTCCTCAATTTTGGCTGCAAAACAGCAGCCATCACCTGGAAAGCTTTTTTAAAATTCTGATGCACAGGCTGCACTCCAGGCCAATTAAATCAGAGTCCGTGGGGGTGGGGCCAGGCCTAGGCATTTTTTAAAGCTTCCCAGGTAAATTCCATGTCTAGGGGTGCTGTAAAGTTACTACAAATATAGGGGCTTAAAACAACACAAATTCATTATCTTATAGTTCCGTATCAGAAGCCCAAAATGGGTCTCACTGAGCTACACTCAAGGTATTGGTAGAGTTGCACTCCCTGCCGGAAGCTCTAGGGAAGCTCTAGTTTTCTTACTTTCTCCAGCTTCTAGAGGCTGCCCACGTTCCTTAGCTAGTGGCCTATGGTCTTCAAAGCTAGCAATGACTGGTGAGTCTTCCTCACTTTGCTTCACTCTGACACTGACTCTTCTGCCTCCCTCTTCCACATTTTAAGACTCTTGAGATTATGTGGAGTCCACCAAGTATCTGTATTTGATTACTGAAAATAATCTCCCAATTTTGAAGACAACTCATTAGCAACACCAAATCCATCCGCTACATTAATTTCCCTTTGTCATGTAGTGTAATGTAACATTCATAGGTTGCAAGGATTCAGACATGGACATCTTTGGGAGAACATTATTTTGCTTACCATATCCGATGACTCCAATGTGCAGCTGAGAATAACTGCTGGTTGTGCCAGGCACCATGGCTCACATCTGTAATCCTAGCACTTTGGGAGGCCAAGGCAGGCGGATTGCTTGAGCCCAGGAGTTCGAGACCAGCCTGGACAACATGGTGAAACCCTGTCTCCACCAAAAATACAAAAATGAGCTGGGCATGGTGGTGTGCGCCTGTAGTCCCAGCTACTCAGGAGGCTGAGGCGAGAGGGCTGCTTGAGACTGGGAGGCAGAGGTGGCAGTAAGCCAAAATCGTGCCACTTCACTCCAGTCTGGGCAACAGAGTGAGACCCTGTCTCAAAAAAAAAAAAAAAAAAAAAGAGTAACTACTGGTCTACCCAACCCATAAGAAGACAGACTTAGAGAAGAGGCCCAGTTAGCAGGCAGCCATGACAGAAGACTGGAGGCACACACTGAAAAATTGGTAGGGAACAAGGGCAAAAAGGCAGAGGACAATAGGCAGCCTTACCAATTTTACATTGTCACAGAACTTGTTTAGGAAGGGGGGAGGGCAGAGGCGCAAACTGTCATGTGATTTATTCTCATTCAGTTCTCTGATAGTCCTGGGAAGCTAAATTGTACACTCTCCCAAGGATGATGGGACCATCCCCACTCAGCTGTAGCCATTAAAGAAAATTGAGGTCATAGATAAGACTCTTCCAGACTTTTGTAACTCATTGCTATCAGCTTGCTCCTTGTTTTGTACTCAGAACCTGGGTGCATGCCAGATTCTCAGGCATTTTGTAGGCTGTCTCCCCTATAATCTGTCTCTATGCAAAATAGATTATAGCTTGAAGATGTATACTGGTTGGCCAACATTTTAATGTCAACACACACACACACACACACACACACACGAGATTTCTGGCTTCTCTTAAAGACCTAGCTATGCTAAGACAGTGCTCCTGCAAGACAACTCAGCTGGGACAGCCGCTGCCTTTAGAGGAGACATTTATTCTCTGGTTTGCCACAGGTCTCATCCTAGCCTTTCTGTTTTATACCTGGTTCACTCGCTCCACATGTTTGTTACTTGCTTGGTCTGGTAGGCATTGAAGCTTCCAACCCTCCCCTCCTCCTCTAGAGCTCTCACCCCTAAAGTTAGGCAAAATTCCCATAAGGAACCATTTGCCTGTCATTAGTGCAAAAGCGAAAAGCTCTCCAGTGGAAAAGATGGGATTCAGGCCAATGGCTGTCTATACACACACAACTTTCCTCACAATCCAGCAAGCTCCAGAGGGCAGTCAGACTAGGGTTTGAGTAAGCAGGCTGTAGCCACCAAGTGTTCTGGTGAACATACTGGTCTCCATTGGTACAAATTTCCTTTGTAGGAAATTAAGCCGAAAACTGACTCCTGTCCCTTGGTCTTTCTCAAGCCTTCAGCACATAACCAATTTCCTTCTTCTTTTATACTTAAGTCTTGATAATCATCACCCATGAGTGCCTCTTCCCACCTCCGAATGTGGGAAGCGACATGTAAATCCGTGCCTAACTCTGTGGACCTTTCCCCCTAAGATGTAACTGAGACCTTATCATTCTGATAATGCCCAGAGCTTGGTCGTGCCACCCAAATGTGCTGCTCCAAACTCTGCACAGCATGAGGGTGCTCTGACCAAGGACAGGCAGACAAGCTCCTCTGACTCAGACGCTGGGCCTCTATAACCCATCCTGACACTGCATGGGCTCAGAGATTTAAAAAAAAAAAAAAAAATAGAGTGGCCAGGCACAGTGGCTCACGCCTGTAATCTCAACACTTTGGGAGGCCAAGGCAGGTGGAGGGCTTCAGCCCAGGAGTCAGAGACCAGCCTGGGCAACATGGCGAAACTGTGTCTCCACGAAAAAATGAGCCAGGTGTGGTGATACATGCTGTAGTCCCAGCTACCTGGGAGGCTGAGAGTTGGGAGGATCATCTGAGCCCAAAAGGTCAAGGCTACAGTGAGCCGTGATGGCGTCAATGCACTCCAGCCAGGGTGACAGAGAGACCCTGTCTCAAAAAAAAAGAAGAAAAAAGAAAGGACTTGCCAAGTAAGGTCCTCTGGGGTACAGAGACCCGACATGAGGGATAATCTTCCCATTACGGGGTTCCAGGGGAAGACTCCGGCCTAAAGAAAGAGCACCAAGTATTTCTAAAGGATAAGATCTAAAAACGCTTCTCTGCACTCTCTCCTCTCCTTAATGGACTGACACTATTTTCTAAGGATGACAACCTCACTGAAATACAGACAGTCTCTGCTTACAACTTTTCAAGTTTACAACGGGTTATCAGGTTATTAAATGCATTTTCTATTTATGATAGATTTATCAGGGTATAACCCCATCGTAGGCTGAAGAGCATCTGTATGCTTCACCTGAAAGGTTGGGGTCCATTTTTAAAGGGTCTGTGGAAAGATGAGCCAGGTGGTGAATGGTGACAATGCCTATTTTCCACGGCACTGCTCATTAAATCAACCTTGGTATAATTAGGAAAGACAAAATTCAAGCCAGTCTTGGAATCATTGGTTTAATGGTTCTCAATAAATGGTTAAGATTAATGTTTCCAGCCAAGTGAGATTTGGGTTTAGATATAGTTTGGGCTTAACTATCCTTTATCTCAGATTAAATGAGACAGTGCATGTAAACCACTTAGAAGAATGCCTGGAACACATTAACTTTCATTAGTAATGTTTTTGCTCATTCTTAAACATTTTCACTTCTGCCACCACTCTTTAGGCAGAGTCTGGCACATAGCTGTCACTCAATGAATGTGAGTAAACCAACACCAGACACTTTAGTCTGCCAGGTCTCTGACATGCAAAGCCATGGGGCCGGGTCCATACACTCCCTCCACTGAGCAAAAGACAAATGGCTTAGGCTACAAGGTTTGGGTCATCAAGGAAAGCTGTCAAATAATGAAGTGGGTTAGCAGATTCCTAAAAATTGGAACCATTTCAGCAGCAGTTTCATCCACAGGGAGACAGAGTAAATGCTCTCTCAGATCTGTCTCACATCTATAGAAACGTTACTCTGTTTATAGTCTTTTGGCATCTTGCTCTGCTATCTCACTTGAGATCACTCCTACAGAACTAATAGAGGAATAAATCAAAAGCAAACCAGTATAAGTAGAGATGCAATAAAATCTGGCTGTCTTGAAACCTGAGGGGCTTGCACATACTTGTTAAGGCATGCAGTGTGTGCTAGGGGCTTCAGCAGGGAATTCTACACAAGGACATGGTGTAGGAAGCAAAGACGAACCAACCCAAGTGGTACTAAAGAGGACAAGATGGGAAGGACATTTTTATTTTCCCTAATCTTCAGGCAACCTCACCAAGCTGGGTCACATGTAGCTGAGTGTGAAACCAAGAAAAATATGAAGCTTAAAAAGTACTGTGCGTTGTATTTCTTCAATCTCTGGCAGGCTGGGAGTCCAAGGTCAGTCTAGGCAGGAGGGCTGCTCAGCCTAAGCAATCATACAATCTTCACCGTCTTGAGCATATCTGACAAGACATACGTGTCATCCCAACCCCTCCCAGGCTTCCTCAGGGTCTGCTCCAAAGCCTGGGCTGTTTCTAGGAGCTCTGGTGTGGCAAGTTTTTGCTCAGGGTGCAGCTGACAGAACAGGATCTCATTCACTTCACCCTCAATTCGCCGGACATATAGGAGGGGGAACACTGCCTTGAGCCCAGCCAGCACTGAGTCCTTTAGCCCCAAGTCTCGGCACACGAGGTTGAGAATAAAAACACCTATAGGGTAGGAAGAAAAGTCAGAATGACCTCACATCAGGAGACATATCAAAGATAAGGATTGGCTTTGAGGAAAATACCAATTCCTGTCCCAGGGAGACTGATGGACTAAAACGCACTTATGATGGTGGTGAGTTTGCAGAGAATACACAGCATAGAAAGGCAGATGGAGAAAAGCATGGGGAGCATGTGAGTCATAGACAAACTTCAGCTTTATTTCTTGCTCTTCTGTGCTACTCACACATTATCTTACCATTCTCCACGCCTCAGTTTCCCAAAGAATTGCTTTGAGAAAGAAGTGATTCCCAGCCAGGCACGGTGGCTCATGTCTATGATCATATCACTTTGGGAGGCTGAGGCAGGCAGATCACTCAAAGTCATGAGTTTGAGACCAGCCTGGCCAAAATGGTGAAACCCCGGCTCTACTAAAAATATAAAAATTAGCTGGGCATGGTGGTGGACCCCTGTAATCCCAGCTGCTAGGGAGGCTGAGGCAGGAGCTGCTAGGGGGTCTGAGGCAGGAGAATCTCTTGAACCCGGGAGGCAGAGGTTGCAGTGAGCCAAAATCCAGCCTGGGTGACAGAATGAGACTTTGTCTCAATCAATTCATAGAAAGTGATTCCCTACAAAAGTAAAATTTACCAACTCTACAGGGATATTACATTCTTGACATACATACCATAGAGTATTTATTAACCAGTGAGAGGGTCAAGGTTACCTTGACTTCTGACAATTAAGATTCCAAATCAAGTCAGTTACCACAGTGCCTTACACCAAATCAAAAACACCTAGAGGGCTGTTAACATAGGGATTAAAGGCTCCAGTTTTGAGGTGACAAGGCACTGGGTTGGAGCCCCAACTGTTACCTTGCGTCACCTTGGCAAATCTTCAACCTCAGTTTCCTCATTCAAACAATGGACTGCTATGAAGATTAAATAACACACTGCCTAGTACAGCACATGTAGGAAGCATCACGTAGTAGCTAGCATCACCATGCTAGTGGGAGTGTGAACTGCTACAACCACTTTGTGAAACTGTGGTAGCATCTACAAAAGCCAAACATACCCATAACCTATGATCCAGCAATTACAACCCTGTGTATATACCCAAGAGATCTGAAAACATAATTCATCAAAAGGCATATACTAACATGCTAATGGTAGCACTACTTATAATAGACCCACACAGGAAACAAACCAAATACCAACAGTAGAATGGACAAATGAATTGCGTTAAGTCACATGATACAACACAGCAATAAAAATAAGCCATGTAAACACAACACTGTGAATGAGTCTCACAAACATCAGGTTGAGTGAAAGAAAATGGGCACTGAAAGAGTATATTCAGCCAAGTGCAGTGGCTCATGCCTGTAATCCCAGCACTTTGGGAGGCCAAGGTAGGAGGATCGCTTGAGGCTAGGAGTTTGAGACCAGCCTGGGCAACATAGTGAGATCCTGTCTCTACAAAAAATAAAAATAAAAAAATTAGGCAGGCCTGGTGGCATCCACCTATAGTTCCAGCTACTCAGATGACTGAGGTGGCAGGATTCCTTGAGACCAGGAGTTTGAGGCTACAGTGAGCCATGATCATGCCACTGCACTCCAGCCTGGGAAACAAAGCGAAATCCTGTCTCAAAAAAAAAAAAAAAAAGAACATTCCAACATTCCATATGATTCCATTTACATAAAGAACAAGAACACGCAAAATTAAGCTGGGCGGACAGATGTTAAGATAGTGATTACTCTTGCGAGGACAAGTTACTGAAAGGGGATAAGAGATAGACTTCCGGCAAGCTGGAAATTTTCTGTGTCTGGTGCTAGTAAATGGGTGTATTCAATTTGGAAAAGCTGATCGAGCTCGTACTTCTGTGCATTTTTCATTAAAAAGATACATTTTTTTTTAATGGTCCCTTCCCTCCTCCCTCTCCAACCTTTTGTTCTCCATACCTTCAGGAGTCAAGATGCTTTTAACATTCTGTAGAAAAGATTGCTCCACAAATGCTGGGGGTGGACAACTCATTCCCAGTGTTGGGTCCTTACTGTCAACATCAAACATTATGACATCGTAGCAAGGCCGTGCTGGGAAAAGAAGAAAACAAGTCCTTGTCTTTGCTGGATAAAATAATACCATTTACATTCCTACACTATACCTCCTCTTTACCAGTGGTGGGCATGGTGACTTAAGTCAGAAGGAAGACACGGAGGATGTGGTTTGCCTATAAGGGCACTGACATCATGGCCCAGGGCAATCCTTGTCATCAGGGTTCAGAGTGTACCATAGTAAAGATGGAACGTTCTTCCACATTTAAAAGCAGCTTCAAAGGCAAAAACATTAGTGGGGTCCACTTTAGCATGAATATTTCTTGATTAAGAGGCTATCAACACCAGTGGCTTTTGACTGTGGCAGAACATTACAATCGCCTTGGGAAGCTTCTAATGCGGACTACACTCCCGACCAACAGAATAAAACATCCTGGGGTGTTAGGGGGCAGATGAGAGGAGAGATGGGAAGCCTCTGGTATTTTTCTTGAGCTTTTCAGGTAATTCTAAATACAGTCAGAGTTGAGGACCACTGATCTAGACAAAGCAGCTGACTAAGCCTTTAAAGGCTGACCCAGTAAATGGTAACTTTTAACTCTGAAAACAGTATATTTTACCTCATAGGAGAAAATGTTCTGAAATTTCAGTTAGTGTTATCTTTATAGTTCCATGAACAAGAGCTGACTCAAGAAAGAAATGATTTTGCTAAATGGGTGAGAAAGAACTGATGAAGAATTGGATCTGCTCCTTACTATAATGTTCAATTGTTTTTATAAGGGGTAGGTCTGCAATGCCACTGACATGTTTTTAGAAAATTTTGAGACTGTGGTAGTAATTATTCAATAATTAATAAGTATTTAATTAGGACTGCTGCATGCTTATCATTGTTCATAGCATAGATCTGATTTTGGTTTCTTACAAAGAGAACATGTTGGCTCATCAAAGTCCGAGGAAAACAATAGCCTGCATTTGCAGCCTTGAGCCCTCCAGTAATCTGAAACATTTTAGTGTTACAGAAGATGGGCAGAGCCATTGAAAATTAATCTATAGATAACAACAGCAGTAACATCGTGGATTAATTACTTACCATGTGCATAGCACTGTTGTAAATACTTCACTGTATTAGCTATCTGGGCTTGGGCACCTAAACTAACCCTAGCCTCAGAGAGGGAACCTGTGAAACTGTTATAATTCAATTCAGCTTGCAATTAAAATTAAGATAGCATCTGTTCAATACTCGTCCCAGGCATCCTAGTTTGCCACACTCTTACTGGAAAATATTCTAATCCAATGAGACCAGAGTATCTGTTATGGAATAAGCAGACCAGGAAGGGTGTCCTGAGCTCCCCAGCAGAACTGAACCAACCTAACTGCCTTCTCCCCGAAGGACTTAAGCTCCAGAAAGTACTAAAGTCACCAGCAGCCTATTTGTATAATAAGCAGAGTTACTGTCCCTAGTATTTTGCAGAAAATTATTATGCTTATGGTTTTTGTCCTAAATCTGGGATGCAAATTACTAGAGCAAAAGGAACCTTAACTCTAGTTGCAGAAGGCCTATCAGAATTCCCATAGAGTAGCATCTGCATCAAGGTTCCTCCACCTCAGCACCGTGGAAATTCTAGGCCAGATAATTCTATCATCAGTGCCTGTCCTGCACATTGTAAAATGTTTACTAGCATCCTAGATCTCTACCAGTTAGATGTCAGTAGCAACATCCCTCACCCCCTGATCTGTGACAACCAAAAATTGTCTCCATACATTACCAAATGTCGGACCCTGAGGTTGTAAACCACTGATCTTACATGAATACTGTTTTGCTCTATTTCTGGCTTTACCTCCAGTTGAAATATTTATAAGAAACACCTCCCAACACACATTCCACATTTTCTTCTCTGTTTCTTTGCCCAGTTAGACTTCAGGTTTCTTAAGATGGTGAGGAAATGACAAGCTTACAGGTCAGAAAAAAGCCCACTGGTCTGTTAGCACCATAAGGGCAGGAATGGCCTGTTTTACTTATTGCTATACATTCATACCTGACACAGTGCTAAGCATATAGCTGGTACTCTAGTGAGTAAGTATATCAACAAATGAACAGGCTGAAGACTGGAATGAACTCATGCCACTCTATTAGAGATAAACTGTAGAGGCCCTTACGGGCCTGACAATGTCAGACCAATCATCCTTCAACACCTCTTCAAATGCTCCAAGAGCAGTACCTTCTCCTCCTCCTGCCAGGCTGGCGATATAGTCCAGGCCGTCTGCAATGTGGACCTTCATTCGGTCACTCTGGGAGAAGCCAAACCACTGCGTGGCCACTTCCAACATGGAGGGGTCGATCTCCACAGCATCGATGCAGGACTTTGGGAAATGATCGTGGACAAAGAGAGGGAGGCTGCCTCCGCCCAGGCCTACCACCAACAATGCCAGTGGCATCTCTGTAAGAAAAGAATAGAGCATCACATTGCCATCTGTTCACTGGAAAATTCTGTACTAGCCTCAGGGAAGGCAAAAGCGTAGGACAGCTCACTGTCTCCACTCGGGGGATACAAGATTTAGAGGTCTCCCTGTCTCATTCCAGAAATCCAAGAGTCAATTTGACATCTGATAACTCAATCCTGGATTCATGATGACTAGATCCAGAAGGTGAACTAGTGTGTTATTATTATTGTCTCTTAAAGATCTCAAAGTGGCCAGGGCAGTGGCTCACACCTGTAATCCCAGCACTTTGGGAGGTCGAGGTGGGCAGATTACTTGAGCTCAGCAGTTCGAGACCAGCCTGGGCAACATGGCGAAATCTTGTCTATAGAAAGTAGAAAAATTAGCTGGGCATGGTGACACACACCGGTGGTATCAGCTACATGGTAAGCTGAGGTGGGAGCCTGAGGAGGTCAAGGCTGCAGTGAGCTGTGATCGTACCACTGCACTCCAGCCTGGGCAAGAGTGAATCCCTGTCTCAAAAAAAAGAAGATTCCTCACTATAAGAGTTATTAGACCCTCTCTAGGAAAGGGAGGAAGAGTGGCCAAGCAATCCTGCTCATGATTAAAAGGCAACAGAAGTGCAATGCCCCTTGCCCCTGACTCAAAAGGCCATACTGTTTTCTCAGACACCCTCACCAAGTAAGGGTAAGCCATTCAAGTTCCATACATCACAGGAAAACAAAGGCCCAACTCCTGCTCCTAAGCACAGAGCACAGCCACCACAGGGGGATCAAAGGAAGACAACAAAAAAACAAGTCACCCAAAGGAGACAATCCCTGAGAATGAAATCTAAGAACTGAGGTTCTAGTGACATATATCAACACTACAATAGGACAAAAGTATAGGGTGTTCCAAGAAGGCACATTCAGGGACTTCAGGTGAAAACGGTTATAATCACAGACAGAAACAGGAACATTTTTACTAATGCAGTCAGATCCAAACCTGCTATTAGTAATAAGGCTATGACTGCATTAACTAGAATATGAATCTTTTTAGAAAGTAGAACTTCAAGATACAATTGCATCTTATGTTCAAATGATGCATTATAGAAAAGCTGAACAATTAAACTCTGTGTATTTTTACATGTCTCACTGAATACACAATATACCTTAATTTTAAAAAGAAATGAACAGAAAAAATGCCATTTAGACCCTAACATATTTCAATACAATTTCAATAGAACAGGTTGAGTTTGAGGCAACAGTTAATTAGACTGCTCATTAACTTTTAAGATGGTTGAGATGAAGAAAGATACACTGTCAGCTTATAATCGCTGTTCTTCAACTACAATGCAGGTGACACCAATTGTTTAGGTCTGTAATCTTTATGCTCCCTTCTGTGGAAGGCAGTGACATCTCTCTCACCTAGGAGTAGCTCTGGGTTTCTCAGCAGGGCAAGGCCAGCGATCATGGCTTTGTGGTGTTCACAACACAGGTAACTCTTATCAATGGACTGCCCCGGGGCTGCAGGGAGGTCCTCCGCATCAGCAGGCCGCTGCTTCTTCCTGTCCTTTTTCCGCTTCTTCTGGGCTAAACAAGAGATATGAAGTTCCATGCTTAGTACACTAGTCCTCAGGAAGCAAGGGTTACCAGCAGCAGTGTGCTCCAGATGGCGTGAATAGACTCAAAAGACCTAATCGTTAAAATTTTGCAAACTGGTTGACATCATGTTGATAGCCTGAAACTGGCCATAGTGAAATCATTTAGACGTTTGTCCCCTACAAACCTCATGTTGAAATGTGATCCCCAATGTCACAGCCACCATGCTGGTCATGAGTGCAGATCCCTCATGAATGGCTGGGTGCCTTCCCCATGGTATGGAGTGAGTTCTCACTCTAGAGCTGTTGTTGAAAAAAGCCTGGCATCTCTCTTGCTATGTGATGTGCCTGCTCTCCCTTCACCTTCTGTGATAACTGTAAGCTTCCTGAAGCCTCACCAGAAGCAGATGTTGGTACCATGCTTCTTGTACAGTCTGCAGAACCATAAGCCAAAATAAACTTTTTTTCTTTATAAACTACCCAGTCTCAGGTATTCCTTTATAAGCAACACAAAACAAACACACACAGTGGTGGTATTTATACTAGAGAACTGATAAACACTATAAATCAGGATGTGCCCCCCCCAAACCCTGCCCCACAAAGAGACAGTTGTTAAACATTTAACATATACAATGGATGCAAGGAAGCTGGAAAAGGAAATGGCAAATGCACACTCAAAAACCTGGGAAAACTCAACTGAGGAGCCCTGGTACCTCCCCTCTGAGAAATGTAAGGCCACTAACAGGAGAAAAGATTACTCATAAAGTCTTTTAAAGAAGGTAAAGTTACTAATCACCTCCTATGTGTCAATTACTATACCATAACTTTTATTCTTTTCGCTCTTCTAACAACCTTATCATTCCAATTCTTGGCACATGAACACACTGAGCCACTGAAGTGTTAAGTAAATAGGGAATCAGCAGATGGTAGAGACAGGAGTTGAACCTCGGACTGCCTGTCTCCATCACCTATCATCTTTCTGCTATGCCACACAGGTAGCACTACCAGCCTCTGCTGAAGAAGAAAATCACAAGTATTCAAAAAGAAATAAATCCAAAAAAGCCACTCCCCTTTCCCTCTCCCCACTCCCTTCACTGCTCCAGGGTATCATACTAAACAGATGGCTGTGTCTTCATAGGGATCAGCTGCATTCCCCAGCAGCAAAGGGTATTGATGGGTGGGGTCGGGGTGCTTTTCAGATATTACATCACTTTTTAATATGCTCTCCTTCTTGCTCACCAATACTGCCATGAGAGGGAACATTCTTTCCATGAGAACAAAGTGCTACCAAGAAGTCAAGGAACATGACAATGGTGAAAAAACCTGAAACCCAAACTGAAACGGGCAAAATGTCCTTTTAAGCAATTTTACTGAGATTTTAGTGAGATGAAACTGGACCAACCTGTAGCCAGAGTGACCAAACAATAGGGCAGAAACCCAACAATCTTGGGTGCTCTTGGCCAGGGAAAACTCCTAAAGAAAAAAACCATTTTGCTGGGTAACTTGATCCTAGTTCAGAGCAAGTCCACGACCTCAAGCGTCTGAATTCTCTGTCTCCACCCTCCTCCCAGATGGCCTTGCTATGAGGGCAGGCAAGTCAGGCAAAGGGAACAACTGGGAATCAGGAGAGCCATTTCAGCTTCCATCCCTGAATCTCCGTGCCTCAGAAAGGGAAAATGCGCTGGAGACGGAGAGGTGAGGGGCGTTCACTTTCCACTCTCTACATTTGACTTCTGAAGTGATTTCAATGAGCAAGTATCACCTTTAAAACACAAACTAACACAGCCTGTGAGAAACACAGGTAAAACAAACTATTGATTCCCCATCAGGGGGAGTTTCTGAGTGACAGCTGGGAGACCACTTAAAGGGATCCTAGAAGAGATGGTTTAGATCTACACTGTCTAATACTAGCCACTAGCCCCCTGTGTCTGTTGAAATGTAAATGTAAATTAATTAGAATTAAAGAAAATAAAAATTCAGTTCCTCAGTTACACTAGCCACATTCCAAACGCTCAGCACTACATAAGGTTAGTGACGACCACATTAGAAACTCAGGTACTAAACATCTCCTTCATCACAGACAGTTCTACTGAACAGTGCTATACTAGATGGCCTCTAAGTCACCCGCCAACTCCAAAACCCTCTGAAACAGGTGAGTCACATGATGGAGGGCAGGGCTCACCTGCAACTTCCATGGTTCTGGCTCACCTCACAAAGGCCTATTGAAACAATACACAGATGTATGTGGAGCACCTGCAAAACAGATGCCTTTAAACTGAAGACATTAAGGCGATTATCACATGTATTTGGCTTCACTACCCACGCCCCTTATCACTTCAGAGCCAGACTCTGCTCAAGAACAGAATGTACTCTGCTTATCGCTGCTCACACCCTAAGAGTCTAGATGGTTAAGAATTCAAAGCCACCCAGGTCCATTCTACATCTTGGCCAAGCTCCCAGGAAATGTAGCCCATGCCACGGCCACCTGGGTCCCACCCTCGCGCCTATGACACCTCACCTTTGTAAGACACATCCTTCAGCAACCTGGCTTCTGACTGCACCACATTCCTGTTGCTAAGGAAAATCAGTCGCCGGAAGTATCGCTTGTCATCCCCTTGCACATCCTCGATGACATAGTTACCGCTCAAGGCACTGCAGTCTTGGTGCTGAACGGTCCGGACCCCAATGTCCCCACCCACAGACAGAAAGGGCACCTGAAGGTACAACCAGAGATGTGGTCAAAACAGTAGTTCATTTAAGAAATAAGAGAAATTATAACCCCTTCCCCTTTGTGTGTATATATCCCTATACCATGGTTCTAAACAACAACTACTCCAAAGATTTGCCATTCTATGAAAGCACTTTTCTGGAGCCTTTGAACCGATCTGAGAGGTTTAATTCATCTTTTGAAAATCAACTGAACACCTAAATATCTTCCAAACAACTAGTGAGATGCAGTTGATTCTCCCCAAGTTCTTTTAGGGGTTTCTCATCAGTAAATTCTAAAAGAACTCTCAATAGTCCAGGATAACAAAAGCTAGAAGGAACCCTCAGGAAGAGGCTGTGATTATGAGAAGGAATCTACACAAGAATAAAGATAACAAAATCCATGGGGGAAACAACCACTCCAAATCTAGAGAAAATTTCCTTTCCCCTAATTATTCTCATCTATTTTTCCCCCATTTTTCTAAACTTTAGGAGAAAAATATACTTTCCCCCTAAACTTTCCCACTCCTTCCCCCTATCTTTATATCTATTTCTTTTTTTAAAGACCTATAAGACTATTTAATAATCACCAGTATCTCCTGACCCTGCAGACTCAGGCACTGGTGAGAGGTCACAAATGAAGCTCCCCAGAGGATCTGGGCTTCCCTGAAATAGGGGTCACCAACCCCAAAGTTGGCCAGGAAGAATCAAATACACATTCTTCTATAAACACAAGTCAGCCTAGTGGACAGAACCACAGGCCAGGAACCCAGAAGCCTAGGTTCTTTTTTTCAGATCTGTTACTATTCGCACCAAGCCTCTAGATACCTTTGCTTTCCCACCTATCAAGAAGGATCAAAGCTTGGGCAACACAGGGAGACCCTGTCTCTAAAAAAAATGTAAAACAACTAGCCAGGTATGGTGGTTTGCACCTATAGTCCCAGTTACTACCAGAAGCTGAGGTGGGAGGACGGTCTGAACCCAGAAGGTTGAGGCTGAGGCTGCAGTGAGCCGTGATCACACCACTGAACTCCAGTCCAGCCTGGGAAACAGAGCAAGACCCTATCTCAAAAAAGAAAAAAAAAGGATCAACTCCTCAACATGAAGTTCTTGCAGTAAAATCACTTGTTCATTACCCATGGTGACCAGGATGGCACAGTTGGTGTTAACTGTTAATACCATATCACTATTTAGGCAAAAACCTTCAGTTTCCTTCCCAGTAAAACACCTGACCAGCAATGTGAATACCTGGATAACCGTGCTGAGCTGTTTTGGCCCTTTCCCATTCATACCCTCAGATAATGATAGCTCTAAGAAGCAAAATGACCAAGAAAATCCAGTTCAAAAAGTGTGGAAGAAGAAATCCACAGTCACAGCAACTCAAATTAAGAAGAACTGGAGCCCGCAACGTGTAGAGCATTTCCGTCCTGCCATGTCTATTGAGTCTCAGAGGCTCCCCCAGACACAGACCCTACTGTACTCGCTTTCCTCTCATTGCCTGGGGCAAAGGACAGTGTTTCCCTGCCATGTAACCCTTAGCTGCTGATACCCATCCAGGATTAGATGAGAGTCATAGACTCTAGTCCTAGCTCCTGCCAAGGCTCCCTCTGCCTCCCTGGCTGCTAACATGACCTCAGAGATCCATGAAAGCTGTAAGAAAGCTATGTTACCTGCTGCTGGGCGGGCATCCCAGCTGGGGCCAGCTCCATGACTCTAGCCGACAGCTCAGCTTGGATGTGGTCCATGCTTTCATACTGCTGACCTCGGTGAAGGGCCACTGTAATCAGCCTCCTGAAGCCAGCACTGGCCGCCAGCTGTTTCCTGCCCTCATCCATGCCAAAGAGCCACTCAGTCTCCCGGCCCTGGGGGACTAGAAAAAAGAACTTGGTTACAGGGAGTCCTGGAAAGAGTGTTCAGGCCCACAACCAATATGGCCCAAATGGAAGGGAGCCAGTCCCTGTCCAAGACCAGCATCTTCCCCAACTATAACCCACTGAGGAGCTAACTACTCCCTAGTTCACAACACCTAGGGCAAAGCAAAGCAGCTCATCAGACAAGACGCAGGACCAAGGGTGGAGAAGAAGTGGGGGCATGTCTGTAGGGGAAGGAGGCAGGCACCTACCACAAGAAAAACAGCAATAATGCCAACACAAATAAGTCATGCCAGGCATGACTCCAAGCTGTTGACAAATATATATTAGTGGAATCCTCCAACAGCCCAAGCTGCAGGTAGTAGTATTATCCCCATTTTTACAAATGAGGAAATTGAGAAACAGAAGTTACACTATTTGCCCAACTTCACACAATAAGTAAATGGTGAAGCTGGGACTCAAACCCAGGCAGTCTAGCCCCAGACTCTACCCATGCTTGTATTCACTACACTATTTATTTCCACACATGGATGGATAGAATTATAGAATACCTGAAAAACTGGTTCAGTCACCAGGAAACAAACTACCATAACACCAAGACCATAAACACTTTGCATTTGTCTAGAATGTTCTACTTTTGAAAGCATTTCCTCCTGCTATCTTTTTTATCCTTTTTAAGGTAAATCTGGTATCACTTACTGCTTTCAATAATAATGGTTAATATTTACACAGCACTTCCAAGGCCAGGTACCATTTCTAAGAGCTTTTATACTTCTCACAACTATACCAGAGTTACACTCCCACTTTATAGGTGAGAAAACCAAGGCAGAGAAAGAAAAGTAACCTGTCTAATGTCATACCATCAGGAAATGACTGAGCCAAAACTGAAACCCAAACAGTCTGGTTCCAGAGCCCACTTTTTTAGCTGCTATCCTATGCTGCCTCTCTAAATTTTGCAGACAAGCACAGCAACTTTCCCAGGTCCTGCAGCTCACAGGCTACAGCTGGGACTAGAACCTATGTCTCAGACTTGCTAGTCCAGCGTTACTTCCATTACTCCATGCTACCAAGTAACTAGCATCTCTATGTCATATGTGACCTCCTAAATGTATCTCTATTCTCTCTCTCCCCTACCAACTCCATTCTCACACTTCATCAAGTCTTTGCAATGGCAAATGAGAAGGAATAGGTCTCAACTCGCAGTAGATTGCTAGAAAGCTATTACTCTCCTTTCATCATGCCTTGGGTAGTCTAATCCTCTGGAAGTACAAACCCCTGCAAGATAAAAACAGTCAAGAATCCCACCAAAGCCCCAGCCCAGCCTCAGCCCCAGCCCAAGCCCAAGCCCAAGCCCAAGTCCCAGCCCCTGTAAGCCAGCCCCTCCAGGGAAGAGAGGGAGCAATCCCAACTCACTGATGAAAATCGCAAAATGATTGTCCCGCGATGGTTTCACAGTGGGGCTGTCCACCACGTGGAGGGTGTAGCGTGGCTCCCCCGTGTCCCCATCGCACAAGTCCAGAGACACACTCCCCAGCTTGGCCTTGCGGCGCAGCTGGCTGCACAGCCAGGCATACTGCTGCCGTTCCCGCACCGCCTCGGCCAACCGCTCGGCACTCTCCAGCCGCACAGGCTTGCCCTGCTCCTGAGCACACAGCTCAAAGATCTGAAGGGCAGAGCCAGGGACTGGCCTGAACTTGGTCATGATGAAGGCAAAGACAGGCAAGGAGAACTGAGGCTCTGCTTCCAACACCTGGTCCTGGCTGTTGGCCACTTGGTGCACCCTCACCATCCACCCCTCCCGGGAGAAGTGGCCCACTGCTTTCTTCAGGACGTGAGCCTGAGCCAGGGAGATGCAGAGATAGCGACCGCCCACCTGCAGGACACGGCCAACCTCAGCCAGCATCCTGTCCACCTGTTGCAGGGTCTTCTCTTCCTCATCTGTCAGGACAGCATCCAGGGTGCCCTTGTCCAACACCACCTGGAACGAGGCATCAGGAAACTCCATCTGTGTCATGTCCATCTTCAAGAAGCTCATCTGGGGCCGTCGGGTGGCATTGCATTCCTTCATTTGCTTGATGACAACCTCACTGATGTCGATGTTCACTATATCCCGATAGCCCACATCATACAGTTGCTCACTCAGTTCTGAGTTGCCACACCCAATCACCAGCACCTGGAGAAAAAATTCACAGACAAGAGGGAGGTAATCAAAGCAAAGGACTGTGCTTCAGGTACTTCAAGGAATCAAGTCTCACCTTGGCTGAGGCACATTTGCAAAAGGTGGAGATGCTACTACCAGGGAAACAGCAACATTGTAGAGCTGATTCTAGACTCTATCTTGAAACACCACATATATACTGGCTAGTGAAAACCACATTCAGCTACAATACAGGTTACATAAGAATAGGCTTTGTGTTGCAGAAACAAATTAATCATAATTGTTCTTTTCTCTAAAACATGCACTTATTACTCGGGAATTAATAGGAAGTCAGAGAATCCAAATATAGAGTTATAGCTGAAATCCTAGGCCAGGAATAACCCTATTTCCTCAATCTACTCATGCCTTTGGCTCCATTAGACAATAAAGTATACTTTGTGAGGATTCAAATCTTACTTCCATCGCAGATTCCATCTCACGATATTCAGTTATTTTCTGAAGCCAAACTTAAAATTCAGATTGTTGTCTCCCTCTCCAGGGAGCAATCTTCCATTCAAACTTAGAAATTCTGATATTGCCATCTCTGGAAAAGCATGGTACAAAGAGATGTGCATATGCTTTTGAGCCAGACAGGCCTGAGTTTAAATCCCCACATGACCACTTGGGCATGATCTTGGGCAAAAAAAAAAAAAAAGTGGCTCTCAAGGGCTCAGTTTCCTCATCTGTAAAATGCATGCAGGGCCACTCACCTGAGTTTATGATGAGAATTGAAAGACTGCACATGCATACACACGGCACCCAATAAAGGTCTGGCACATAAAGTTTACCCGCAAATGTAAGTTTTCTACTTTTCCTCCTTCCCAACCTCCAGTACAGTCTCACCTATTACCAAACCCATTATTGTACTTACTACGTTTCACTTCTGGAACATGTGCAGGGTTTATGTCTTAATGCTCTTATAGCTTAAGGACTGGGCACAGTGCCTGAAACTCGGGGAGCGCTGAACAACTATTTGAAAAACAAATTCATACACAAAGTCACACCTGCTGCAGGTGGCACAGGAATACACAGTGACAGAAGATTGGAAGTTACTCTTCAAGTAGGGTTATTAATCCAAGAATGAGTTGGGGTGGGAGGTTTATTACCTGAAAACCTTTAAAAAAAATTTTTTTTTGAGACAGCGTCTCACTCTGTCACCCAGGTTGGAGTGCAGTGGAGTGATCATGGCTCACTGCAGCCTCAACCTCCTGGGCTCAAGCGATCCTCCCACCTAAGCCTCCCGAGTAGCTGGAACTACAGATGCGCGCCACCACGCCCTGCTATTTTTTTCATTTTTTGTAGAGACGAGGTCTCATTATGTTACCCTGGCTGGTCTCTAACTCCTGGGTGGAAGCGATCCTCCCACCTCGCTCTCCCAAAGTGTTGGGATTACAGGCGTGAGCCACCACGCCCAGGCTGAAAGAGTATTTTAGTTTGACTTTTAGCAGGAACAATTCAAGAAATGCTGAAATATGCGTCCAGCTACGGTCCTCCCGCCTGTCACTGTCCCCCAAGTGCAAGACTCCTGTTACTAGTTCCCACCTTCCGGGGCACGCACGAAGGAAGGGCTGACAGGCCGCGCTCCTCACCTTTTCCCTGGGCTTGATGTATTTGTGTAGCACCCCGCACAGTTCCAGGTAGGTTCCATACCACTCGAAAGCTTTCTTTCCTCGCTGCTGGAAGAACTTCTCCCAGTAGTCAACGGAGCCAAACTCCTTGGAACTTTTAGGTAAGAGGTTCATGTTCCTACCGCCGGAGCTGCGTTTTCAAGACTCCCCTACTCCCTGTGAGATACCATCTGAGGAGCTTGCCCACCACACGCAGGCTCCGGGACACTGCAGTGGCAATTCTTTCCACGGAAAAACAGCCACATTGATTTGTTCCCCCCTGGATGACCCTTACACGACAAACGCACGGGCCACTGAATCTCACACACGCTCGCCCCCTCCTCCGCGCCTGCTGTCCTTGTCCCACGTGAAGAGTTCCTCACGCTTTTCCCGAGCTAGATTTCCGAGCCCAGCAACCATATCCGGGTGCGAGACCTCGTGATTCGTCGGCCGGGCCAGCCCATCCCAGCTAGTCGTTGGTCGCTGCTTTGCATTTCTATCACCTCATTGGCTGAGACGTGCTTGCCTTTCTCCGGAGGCTCGGTCGCAGGCACCTAAACGCTTTTTAGACGTGAGGCCGGCCGACCATTCACGGGACGGGGCGGGAACGCGGGCCGCACTTGTGGCGGAAGAGGCCGGGCGTCTGTGAGAACTAGGTCACGTCCGGGTGCCGAGGGAGCGCTGCTGTGCTGGGGCTGGGCCTTCCCTCTAGGCGGGGCGGAGAGCGCGCTTCCTTCCCGGGCTCGGCGTCTGCTTTGTCTTGGAGCCGGCTTAATCCACTGACTGCGATCGTGCGCCACACAGTGGCGGAGGGCGGCAGACGGGAGCGTATTGATAGCGGAAGATGAAAAGAAAAACCTGTGCAGATCGGAGAGAAGTGAGGCAGGAAATGAGTAAAGCCAGTCCGTCGTAAAAACGCTGCACATTCTAACCTTGTCAGCTTCTGCGCACCACCAGTCCCCGCCTTATTTTGCCACCTCTGCACCAAAATACAGGATTCTGCTATCAAAAGTGTAATAACGTGAAAATTCAGGACGAAAAAGTAACAACTAGGCATTCAGAGGTCCCTACCCTCCTTCTTCCTTCTCCCCTCAAAGCACAACATGCAAAACTCTAGCCTTTCATTTTGATAATTGGCCTCCTTGTTATTCTGACGTTACCTATAACTGCTTACTTCATTGTTTGATAAACATACTGTACTTTCACATGCTCATGCTAATACCCTGAGGAAGCTTCTGTGAAGGGCACTTTTTTTTCAGACAGGGTCTCACTCTCGCCCAGACTGCAGGGCGGTGATGCAGTCATGGCTCACTGCAGTCTCCACCTCCCAGGGGTCAGGGGATTCTCCCACCTCAGCCTCCGAAGTAGCTGGGAATACAGGTGCATACCACTACACGTGGCTAATTTTTTTTTTTTTTTTTTTTTTGTAGAAATGGGGTTTCGTCATGTTGTCCAGGCTGGTCTCAAACTCAAGTGATCATCTCGCCTCAGCCTACCACAGTGCTGGGATGACTGGTGTGAGTCCAGGCACTATTTGAAAATGACCAAACATGTGTATCATTGCGCCTTTCACACCATGATAAATTGCAGGAGAAATATACAGATTGAGGAGAGCAGATAGGCTTGGAATTGAGCATGTGTACTGTGGGCTGTTATATACTACACTAGCACAGGTAGATAGCCAGGTAGACTGTTAATAGTTAAGTAGGTTAGATTGGACTTAAACATTGGTTTTAAAAAGTGATTCTCAAACTGGCATGCATCAGAATCACCTGGAGGACTTGTTAAAACACAGAATTCCCCTAGTCACATCCCAGTTCCGAGTCGTTAGTTCAGTGGTGAGGCCCAAGGATTTGTGTTTCTAACAAGTTCCCACAATGCTGATGATGTTAGTCCCGGAACCACACTTAGAACCACTGTTTTAAAATACAATTAAGAGATAAGTCAAAATGGATATGGTTCCAAATTCGCTATTTTCAATGGTAAATCTAAAAGCTTTCTACAAGTAACATAAGAGAAAATCTGTTTTCATGCTCCCCTTGCTGAGTTCACATTGTTCCTTTCTACCCAAGACAAAGAGAAGGAGTCCTTGAAGTAGCTTCAGCTACTACACCATGCAAGGTTCCGAATGGGTGAAATGTGGGTTCTTTAGGAAGCACTTATTGAGAGCAGAGGACATCACTTGGTACTGAATGTGCTACACAATTCCAAAGAAGCAAAACACCATCGCAGCCAGGCGCGGTGGTTCACGCCTGTAATCCCACCACTTTGGTAGGCCGAGGCGGGCTGATCACTTGAGATCAGGAGTTTGAGATCAACTTAACTAACATGGTGAAACCATGTCTCTAATAAAAATACAAAAATTAGCCGGGTGTAGTTATGTGTGCCTGTAGTCCCAGCTACTCAGGAGGCTGAGGCAGGAGAATCGCTTGAACCCGGGAGGCAGAGGTTGCAGTGTGCCAAGAGATTGCGCCACCGCACTCCATCCTGGCCAACAGAGGGAGACTCCGTCTCAGAAACAACAACAAAAACAAATCCATAGCAGCTGCTCTGTGCCCCCCAAAGCTTTATTCAATTCAATTCAACAAATATTTTAATTGTCTAATAGGAGCCAATCACTGTGGTAGAAGCTAAGGATGCAATGGTAAGCATGTTAATCACGTGGAGGGCACATTAAACAATTACAAAAATAACCTGTAATGGGGGTTATAAGTGCTGTGAAGGAGAACCATACCAGTCCAAAATAGTATATCTTTGTGACCCCTACTGATCTAGGGGGTGACCAGAGAAGGTTTCCCTGAGGAAGGGACAAAAATGCTATATAATCTGACTGCTTAATATCAGCATGACATAGGTGAGAAAACAAAAAGCATGGTTCACCCTCTAGAACCTTTACAAGAACTTTTGGCTGCTGCTTTTCCCTCTGTCTCTATTGTCTGTTCTGTTAAGGTCATGTTATTAGAAAAGACAAAGTTATTTCTATCACAGCCCAGGCTCCAGCCCCATATTTGATGCTCTAAAAGTATGATTACTGTTTGCAATGTTTTTCAGACCAAGAGGATAAGTAACTTACCTTTTTCCATCGGTGCCTGCCTCCCTTCTGTGAGCCTAAAAAAGTGATAGCAACCAGAACATTTTAAGCTAAAACATACTAGAGATTTTCTAAAATTGTAAGATTAACACAGAAATATTTTAGATATATTGTAACATTAGACCCTAGCATTAGCCTTTCAAAATACTTATTTGAAGCTTATTTCTCTCAAGGTTTAACTATGAAATATAATTGATAGGTATGTGTTATCATTATTATACTTAGTTAATTTAAGCCAATAAGATGTTAAAATGCTTTGTGTTTTGTTAGGATCCCCAGAGTGGTTACCAATATGATTTAAAATGCAAGTTAATTTTAGATAAAGCCCTTCAGTATTGTGGAGTTTTTTTCCTAAAAATATAAATCCAGACCTCTGGATATATAATTTACAGTCAAATTTACTTAATTGAAACATACTCATTATTGTGGTAATAATATTCAGTTGATTGTTACTACGATTAATTGTAAAATAAAAAAAGAGGAAATAAAAAGCATCTCTTGACAATTTGGGAGGCAGAGGATGAGAGACGCAAAATAATGCTCCCCCAAAGATGTCTACCTCCTAATCCCCAGAACCGAAACTGTGAAGGTAACAGGTTACAAGGCAAAGGAGAATTAAGGTTGTAGATGCAATTAAGGATGCTAATCAGCTGAAGTAGCAAGACTATCTAACTGAGCTCAATGTAATCACAAGGGTCCTTTTCCATTCTCTTTTTTTTTTTTTGAGATGGAGTCTTACTCTGTTGCCCAGTCTGGAGTGCAGTGGCACAATCTTGGCTCACTGCAACCTCCGCTTCCCAGGTTCAAGCAATTCTCCTGCCTCAGCCTCCTGAGTAGCTGGGGATTACAGGCGTCCACACGCCCAGCTAATTTTTGTATTTTTAGTAGAGACGAGGTCTCACCATGTTGGCCAGGCTGGGCCACAAGGTCCTTTAAAGTGGAAGAGGGAGAGACAGAAGGGCTTGGCCCAGTGTTTCTGGCTTTGAAGGAAGGCAGCCATGAACCAAGGAAAGGGGGTGGCCTCTAGAACCTGGAAAAGGAAAAGAAATGGTTGCTCCTATAGAGCCTCCAGAAGAAATACGGCCCTGTTGACACCTTGATTTTAATTTATTGAGACTTGTCAGACTTCTGACTGATCGAACTGTAAGATAATAAATTTGTATTGCGTATGGCACTAGTTTTTGGTAATTTGTTACAGTAGTGATAGGAAACTAATACAGAACATAAACAGGAGAGAGAAAGAGAGAGCGAGTATGTGCGGTTGGGGCAGAAGGTCACAGTGGGAAGAAAGCAGCAGAAGATACAACTAGAGGCTGAGGTAAAGGGCAGGTTTTGAGGAGTCTTCTATTCCACATCTTTAGCTTCAGCCTGTTGGGCCACAGGAAATAACAGAGATCCAGGGTCATGACAGAAAGACCTGATCTGGGAGATGTTCTCAGGAAAGACTGAGGTGCTTGATGACTGATTGAATAGGGGGAATAAAAGACTGAGGGACTCATAAATGACTCCTACATTGGCCTCTGGATGACTGAAGACATAGTCTGTAGAAAGAAAAGGGGAAGGAGAAAGAGGTATTATTTGTAGAACTGTTACTTGAAAAGAATTTAGAGGTTATCACTCCAGTAAAAACCAGAGCCAGAGCTAAAAGCCAGTCTCCCCACCCTGCTGTGCCTAGCCCAGGGCTCATACCGTTCTCACTTCCTGCCAGTGGTATCCAGTTGGAGTTGGTAGGTCCAAGACATGAAAATGTTTCATGAGTGGGATATAAAACTGAGTAAAGGGAATGTCTCTTTGGTGTACAGGGAGTGGCTCATACAATGCTGGAAACTATTTCAAATTGGAAATCATCTTAGCCAATGGGTTTGTTTTCCACATTTGAGAAGTTTAAAAATGAATGTTCTCCTGCATCTTGGGATAATAGAAGGCAGACATAATAACATCCTAGGGTAACATTATACCATTTTATTAGCTGAGTGTCACACTTTTCTTGATGGTATTGTTGACCTGAAAAGTGACTATCAAGCTGATACTGGATTCCTAAGATTGGGTTGATGATAATAGCTACTTATTTATGTATTTGTTTAAGACAAGGTCTCACTCTATCACCCAGGCTGGAGTGCAGTGGTGCAATCACAGCTTACTGCAGCCTCGACTTTCTGGGCTCAAGTGAGCCTTCCACCTCAGTCTCCCAAGTAGCTGAGACTACAGGTACGAGCCTCCATGCCTGGCTAGTTTAAAATATATACATATATTTGTAGAGATAGGGTCTCCCTATGTTGCCCAGGCTGTTCTCAAACTCCTGGCTTCAAGGGATCCTCCCACCTCAGTCTCTCAAAGTGCTAGGATTACAGGTGTAAGCCACCATGCCCACTGCACAATAGTATTTTTTAGTTTGTATAGCACTTGTGATTGGCCAAGAATTTTTCTCATACATTACTTTGAATCCATGGGAAGGAGGTTCAGAGCTACAGAGTTAATTTTCACATTGGCAGAGAATCCCTTTGGGAGAATGTGCCAGCCTTGTACAAGATTAACAAATTAGTTTCATCAT